CCACCCTTGGAGATGCTCAACCCACTCTGGACATGGCCCTGTGCAACCTGCCCTGTCCGTCCCAGGGAGCTGCCGGTGCCTCCCACCCTTGTGCTTCCCGATTCCATGAAAGGAGCCTGGAACAGGCAACTTCTCCTGGGGGCAGCCACCACCTTGACATTAATGATCTTCTCTTCCCCCGTCTCCCAGATGCTTCCAGCAAGGATGACGGCCCATTCCCAATTTACAGGTTTGTTCAGCTAATGATTAACTGGTGGGGTAGGCAAGCTGTATCTGCCAGGACACTTAAATGGAATTTAAATTCAAACTGTTTTCCATACACATTTATCACTTCATTGGCCAATACTGTAGCTGTCTCTTTTTGCATTTTTTTTCTGCCAAATTGATCTTAGGGGGCAAGTTAACTGTACTGGAAAGGCTTTTTTTCTTTTTTTGTGAAATAATCCGTTGTGCATGTTATACGATATCAGTTCTTGACGGTGAGGCCGCAGGTTTGTCCTTCAGAATTCCTTAACTTGCCGTTGTTTGTCATGCATCCGCCTGCTGCGGGACGCGCAATGCGGAATACAAAGCAGGAAGGGGACGGATCATGGATCACGGATAACATCCTGGAACGGCCTCGGAAATAGAGTGTGGAAACCAGGTGAATAAAGGAGCAGGGGGCATGTGCAGGGGTGTGAAGTGTCCCAGGAGGCCGTTCTGGTAAGGGCAGTGTTTAACAAGTCCTCGCTGCTGTTGCAGTGTCATTCTAAACAGCAAACCATCGAGGGTCTTTTAGGGTCTTGACTGATTTAGCCTGATAATTAGAAAGAAAATAATGCGAATAATCTTCTTAATAGATTATTTTAAAAATAGAGAAATGAACTGTGCAGAGAAGTACCATATGCAGCAGTGTAAAACAAGAAAGGATTCTGGCAAGCTAATGTGCTCTGGTGGGCATTGTTCCATATCAACATCCACCCCAGAGAAGGGATGCAGGAGCTGCGAAGACTGAGGGGAGATGCTGGAACACAGACACCTTCACATGTGCACATTGCGATTATTTTTACCTGGTTCTCCTTCAAAATGTGTGTATGGGATCACAGCATGAGGTCCCTGCATGTCACGGGTCGGGGTGCTGAGAATCACCCGACTTACTTATATATGATGCCAAGAGCAAAGGACCCATGGGAGCAGTTAAAATGTTTAATTTATGTCAGATAATAAGTTTTTTAATGAATTGTGCTTTACTAAGCTAAAAAGTTGGGGAAAAACCCAATTTGCAGGTATTCAGAGTGCTTGCTTTCCAGAAGACAGCTTTGCTGCTCATGCTTTGGTGCACATTTGTTCACGTCTGGGGGTTGTGTTGGGATTTCAAGGTCTGGGGCTGTGGCTGCATACAGGGTCTGACAAGATAAGAGCAGTCTGTCTCATATGTGCGCTGCAAATTCCATCTCCCAGCGAAGCAAGAGCTCGGGCATGCAGGGAATGGTGATGTGCAGGAGGCTGATGAGCCGCAATAAAGCGTTCATTATCCTTCCATCTGAATTAAATCATAAAAGTGCCGGTGTAACTTCACTCCCAATCCCTTCTGCTGAATTACCAGCTAAACCCACATTATTTTAAGCTATTTCTGTATACTCTTGTTTAGATGATCATTCTGTCATTCAGGCCTTTCTCTTTCCTCCTCTCTATCTGCCTTTTTTTTTTTTTTTCTTTTTTCCTCCCTATTTCTTTCCTTTTTGATGTTTTTCCTGGAGAACACACTTGTGTCAGCTTGTATCATTTTCACATTTCCTTCTTATAAGCATCCTACGTAACTACGTGTTGTGTAAACCGAAGTCCCTGGATGTTAGAGCTAACAACATAAGATACAAAAAAGAACACGCCGTAAGAATTCTTCTCCTTTTGGAATGTCTCTCCACAGATTATTTCTGTGAACAAATATTTTTGCAGAGTTACTGAACTTGCAGTGACTTTGATTTATGGGTTTGTGCTACCCCATGAGTTAGGTGTGTTACAGCATCGTGCAACTTCCAGCACTCCTTATCTCTCTCATTTGCTTTTCTTTTTCTTTTTGTAAATGCTCTCAACGGCGAGGGAGGCTGACTGGAAGAAAATGGGGCAGGGAATATCTCTAAGCATGGATGAAGCAGCAGATCAGGGCACCTGGTTAGTTATTAGGGAGAATGAAGCAAAGCAAGATCTTACATGAGAAAGAGAGATTGGATGAGTCCTTTGGTCCAGGTGCTGCTCCCAGGCTTGGAAAATGGGGTCCCCTGTCCTGTTGTCATTCATTATTGCCCTTCAAAGCCCAGATTCTTCTTCGTGATGCATTTGAACAGCCTCTGGGATTCAGTGGGGTTGTTCTTAGGAGAATGGGCCTCTTTGCAAAGGTGAAATTAGAGGATCGAAAGGTTGAATTTTGCATTATTTTGTGGCACGCTGTTTAAGAACATGAGCACAGAGCGGGTTGAACCCTGTGGGGCTGTGGAAACCCTCACACAGGGCTGGAACCTCACGGAAGCAGGAAGAAATGAGAGTGCCTTCCTCACAGGACCTGCATCCTAGCTATAGGAGACCCCAAAGTTGCTGGTAGGTTTGGGGGCCATCCCTGTCATTATCCACCCTGTGTTCCCCAGGTCATTACTTAATTTTGTTGTTTGGTAGATATTTATGCCCTTTAACAATGGCTTTTCTTTCCTTAGTGTACCCTGAAGTGATTTTCTTCTGTAATTACACTCCTTCCCTTCAACTCACATCTTAGGAAAGGTTAATTTCTTTCTTTTAATTGGGTTGATAAAGTCTTTTGCCTGGCATTTCTCTTGCAGAGTGTTGGCGTTGGGGTTTCTTGCTGGATGTGATGTTCCTGCTGGAATAGGCCATGTTGCAATCGACTCTTCTCCCCAAACCTCTTTTTCTCAACATTTAACTTCTATGGCAGGCACTGCCCATCAGGAATGTGCTCCTTCATCAACCAAAACTGACCTTCCACAAAAGCACTTTTTCCCAATCCAAGCCTGGAGGTCTTAGGCAGCTAAAAAGCGGCTTATCCTGTTGTTTTGTTCTAGAAAATCCAGGAGTAAATCTTGGTGTTCATGTATTGCCAAAGCAGATGTGATTGCAACAAGCTCATTTGGTGATAAAACCAAAGGATCTGTGTATGTTGTGTGTGTTTGTTTTTTTTTTTTTTTTTTTTTTTTTTTTTCTTTTTTCAGAGCAGTTCAGTTAGCTTTATCCTAAACTAACACTTAAAAGTAAAATCTAAATTAACATTATTCAAGTATTTCTATCTAAGCTTCACCTTCACCAGAAAAAAAAAATCAAGATTTTCTTGTTTTCTGTTGACTTTAATTTTGCTTTGATTTGAAATTGACATTTTTAACATGCTTTTAATTAACATTTTAAACTGCCTTGCAAATCTGTGCCTCCTCCTTTTGGATATTCCTTTGCAGGAAATTGGGAATAGCTCTCACCCTGAAGCTGGACAACATTCCCAGGGGCAGAGGTGGCTGGTGCCACTGCATTCCAGCTGCTCTTTCACGGATATTTTGTGTCTAGGTGTTTTTGCAGCTGCAGTGTATGGTGGATTCCACGTTATTTGTTCTTTGTATTCACTAGAATTAATATAGGGGAAAAAATAAGAGTTACAACTTAAAGAAAATAATGTTATATAAAGTAATGAGATTGTTCCGAGGCTTAATTAGATGGAGCAGATTGAGTGCGTTACAGGGATATCTTAAGGCAACATAATTAAATTGTAGGCATAATCCTCCCCGTGTTAGAACTGATTTTATCTTCATAAGGCAAGGTACATGAGCTAGTCCTTCCTGCCATCGTAAACTGCTAATTCTTGGGGAAGACCAGCGGATCTCATGGATTTACTGTATTTTCAGAACACAAAATTGGGTAGAAGTCTAAATATCCAATTGTAGATATTCTGGTTACGGGAGAACTCTAACTTCCATCTTAGTGTGTGCTACAGCTCAGTAATTGAATCACAGACTTACAACACAGATGTCTGCAGCGTGTTGTTGTCTGGGCTGAGCTCCTCTCCTTTGTCACATCTCTTAAAGAAATTGTGTGCAGATGTCTGTGCTGGCACCGTGAGCAATGCCCGGGAATGGGGATGCATCTCTGCAGGGGCACGTGCTCACGTGTGAGGTTTTTAGGCTAATGAGGGATGCTGTAAAGTTTGCGTGTGTGAATATGAATGTGTGCCTGCATATATATATATATATATATAAAACCATGCACATGTGCCAGGGGACATGGAACTGTCACACGGACAGACTGTGCGCAAGGCGTGCTCCGCTGTCCGCCCCTTACCCACCACTTGCAGAGCGGAAATTCCAAGTTTCCCGGAGGAATCCAGTGTCCATTTTGAAAAATGGAGATTAGGATACCAAGGAATAATATGTTTACTTTTCAGCACCATGAATATGTAGTGACCTACTTATACTATACCACTTGGCTTTATTTTTCAAGGTTGTCAAGACAGCCCTTATTGTAATTGAGGCAGCGTCCCTTTTAGCAGAGCAGTAAATGGTACCAGCTACTGAATTAACGTTTTGGAAGTAGAGCATAGGAGGAGCTTCAAAGCATTGTTCATCAGGAGCGTTTTTGTATGTTATTGTGCCATAAGTAAAACAGTGTCTGGCTCATAAGTGCTTAAAACTGCGTTATGCTCGATCTGCAAGTTAAACTGCCGGCAGTTTTGGAATATGGGTTATATATAATGTCAAGATACTGAAACTTGAAATAATAGTTCACACTTTTTTTTGCTAATAAACTGAATTTTTAATGGTCTTTTGATGATCTTGAGATGTTTTAGAGAGAAGTGGTTTTACCCAGCACCCTCCTTGCGTTTCTCTTCCTCTGCGGGTGCTGCCCGATGAACTTGGCGCGCGTCGGCGCGGGACGCGGGCGGCTTCGCGGCGGTGCCCGACACCGTTCGCAGAGCGGGGTGCCCCGTGTGCCACGTCCAGGCAGTTATTGTGTCATTTCTCTTGGTCTTTCAGAGTCTTCCTGCGAGCAATTAATCAGTACGCAGATATGCTAAACAAGAAGTTTCTCGATCAAGCCAACTTTGAGTTGCAGGTAGGAAAAACACCGAGCGATTTCCTTGTGTTAATGCTGTAATACGTTTCTGTCCCAGGCTGTGGTTTTGTCCTATGTGTAATTCAGCGTCCAGCTCTTCCCAGAGCCTCAGCCCAGATGTGTCCCACAAGCACCTTGTGGATCCCATCCTGCAAAGCAGCACCTGCCCCTGTACAGCTTGCAGAAGGCCCTGGCATGAAAACCAAGTAATATGTGCTCTGTTAAATGGTGTTCGTATGTAAAATATAGGTATCTTGTTAAATAGAGCAGCCCTCACGCTGGTATGTAACTGCTCAACTCATCAGAGCACAGTTACGTTTCATGGCTGGGAAGCATTTCCTGGGAAAGACACACGAGGACACGCACGCCGAGTTGTTCTTAGGAAGCAGTTTTTCTGTGGTGGTTGCTGTTTTGCCATTAAATATTTATATGCTTAAGTTAGATGCTTCCAAGCTGTTTTGTAGATGTGTGGAAAAAGTGTTTCAGAGAATTAACGGTACCTGTCCTTGTCATTTTGGGGGTTTTCAGCTTTGGAACAACTACTTTCACCTGGCGGTTGCTTTTCTTACACAAGAGTCTCTACAACTGGAGAATTTTTCAAGTGCTAAAAGAGCAAAAATACTTAACAAGTAAGTCCTATTCATCTTCTAAATCACGGACAAAAGCTTGAGGTCTATTAGCATAATTTTAGACTAATTTCATAGTTAAATCCATTCAAATTGAGATGCAATCAGGGCATAATGAAAGGTTGGTTTTTAAAATACGAATCAAGTGTTGCATGTGTTTCTACCCTCGAATCAAGATCTAAATTACACGATTCATTACTGCTGAAGATAGTATTTTATACTGCAGGATGTTCCGAAAGTCAAGACTTTTTGGAAGTACTAACACATTACGGAACTGTTGTTTCAAAAAACGCTTCACTTTGTGCTTATGCTAACCTTGTACTAGCCAATTTCTACTTCCAATTCGGACTTCAGATTGAATTGAATTTCATTTGGATTCAAACTGGGGAGTCTTTGCCTTCCTGGGCTGTTCAGACAGAATTTTTAATCCCCTCGAGCGCACAGGCAGCCGGCTCGGGGCCTTGCTTGGTGGAACGGGAATACTTGCCCATTCCAGGGAAAAATGGGGTGAAGCAGAGCCCAGACTTCTGCACTGGGGATATAAAACTCCTGAATAACATTAAAGTTACACACTTGCAGAAGCAAATCAAGCTGTAAAAGGCCAGTAAACGTCAAGTCCTTAGGAGCAGAATGCATAGAGCAGAATCCCTTGCGCGCGATGGGAGCGACGTGCCCTTGTGTGGCTCGGAGCAGGGAGGACACTTAAAAAAACCAAAGAGCTTCAGTCCATCCCTTGGAGCAGAAGTGGATCAAAACCAGCTGTTGCAGGGCCCTGGCAATACGTTTTTGTGGATGGATTATCCTTTGGATGGAAAAAATATGTCCGATTATTTTTATATAGAGCTACACAGTGTTGAAGCAGTGCAAGAAATGAACTGGCGTTTCTCACAGATGCTATAAGCAAACAGGTCATTTGGAGATAGTGCTCGATGAAGTTGGCGGAACTGTAAATCTCTGTTATAATAATTTTACAAATTGTTATTTCAAATATTGCCTCCCAAACATGATTAAACTAAGGCAGGAAGTGGCACAGAATGCAATAATATTAATAATAATAATGATAAATGCGTGGTCTTGGAGCACTGACTTTCACTGGGGTGTGAAACCACTGTCAGTTCTGTGCCAAAGTGATGTAAATATTCACTTAGTCCTATATCACCCTCACCCTCCTCCTAAAGCTTATATTTCAATTAATACTTCTAGCATTTAATACTTTAAAATGTAATTATTGTAATTGGTAAGTTTCACTAACTGTTGTGTATAAATGATAGTTAATAGCAGATGTTTAATGATAGAGAAGAATTTATTTAATCCATAATAATGTCAGCGGTTCTCACAAGTATCCCCTAACAATTCCCCAAGCTGCCAGATATTTCCAATGTGCTAATTTTATCATTGAAGTAATGATTTTAAAATATCAATATTTTGCCTCACGTGCCTGTATTCGTGGAGTTCGTTAAGATCCTGATCTGGTTATGGAAACAAATTCTCCGTGGTCTGCAGTTTAGGGAACTTTTAGGAGTTTGCACGGGTGGCGTCAGTGACCCAGATGTCACGGGGTGTTTCTCCCTCTATTTTCTAGCACAACGCCTTGCTCAGGGTGTGTAAAAACAAAACGTGTCGTGGGCCGTGACGCTGCTGTTGTGCTTCCCCCAGCTGCTGCAACTGGAAAAGTAGAAACGTTGCCAGTGAATCCCTGGGGCTGCTGCTTCCCTGTCTGCAGCAGGAACTGCCTCCGAGCATCTCCCTGTGCCGGGAGCGGAATGTTTGAGAAAGAAAAGGGTTTTTTCCTAATGTTTGATTAATCGCTCTCTATTTGTTTTCTTGTAAGATACGGTGATATGAGGAGGCAGATCGGCTTCGAGATCAGGGACATGTGGTACAACCTGGGTGAGTAGCCTCAGCCTCGATGCTCAGCATGGTTCAGCGTGGAGGCGAAAAACATTATAGATGAAC